TAATTTAGACTCACGATTGGCGTTAGCCTTGTTGTCTCGTTCTATTTATTACAATGCGATATCATAGTTGTCTCCTTCTCTCGTATTAGCTTACGCGAGGCAGGCACGCCTACATCCAAGGAAGTAAGCAGGTGTTGTGGCAACACTGTTGCGGAATTTTAGATAAATTATACTTCACACGTTTTTCAAAATTCAATAATAAGTGGTATTATTTTTCTTATAATAAATCGATTTAATCGAAATTATATTTCTATTCTAAAATATAGATATTTTAACACTATCGCCATCTTGTAGCCATCACAGTAACCAATAAAATAAATACAGATTCCTTCTTTAGGTTTTTTTTGGTTATAAAATTCTGAACTGTTTAAAGAACAAATCTGTGGTTATTTACGCAATATTTTGTTTATTCTTTTTCTATGAGTTTGTCTATTTTATGATTCTTTTGTAAGTGGTTTATTCTGTGGGTTTAGTTAATTGAACTTGGTGATTTATGGGAATTTAGTCATTATGGATATTACGGTGAGAAATTGTACCGATATTGTTGACCTTCACGTGGTTCTTGCTGAACAATGAAATATTAATTAGACAAAAATGAGGTTTATTTAAAATAAACTTTATTTTTACAATAAAATATATTTCATTGACAAAGTAGAGGATTCCTTCCCTACCACAGTCTAAGTTTTTTACTTAGTTTTAAGTATAGGTTGTGAACTGCGACGTCAGTTTTTTTAAGTTGGGTTTAAAAAAATTTCTTCGCCTTTAAAAAGGGGCGAAACCCTGCCTCTGCCTCACCAAAATGAAATGTCACGGGCCGTCACTGTATGTTACATTATAATCCTAGGATTATAATATAATGTAACATATGTCAAACATATTATGTTATGTACATGAATTTATTCTGCAGTGACCTGTAAGTTAATATTTTCTTTGCTGATTTCGAGCTAAACGAGATAGATGGAACCACTCTTTCTATGTAATTTCAATGTATTTTCATTATTGTACGGCGGTGTATAATAATTTGACTTTTGAACTGCGTACAAAATTTAAGTCCTTATATATAGGCTTATGAGTGTTATAATATGAAAATTGTTATACCTACGCTTAAAAAAACGATATTTTAAACCGGTATTTTTGCTCCACTATAAAAAGAAATTGAGCACAAATAACGGTTTAGATGTATTGGACAAGTGTTTATCTGAAACGTAAATTTGTCAATGAAATAATATGTTTATATCGTGCTAAATATAAATTTTGTGTGGGATTCCTGGTATTGGAATAAACTGTATTTTGAAAATTAAAATCATAATATTATTTTTAACGCCAGAAACATTAATCCAAAAACCTTAACATTATTTGCTGTAAAAAAGTGTTTGCCAATACAAAGTTTAAATATAAATTATGTTTTTTCGCTCCAAATTCAAACGACTTTGATAAACCATATTTCAGTGTTATGAGTTATACGACATTTATTATTGCGTTGATTTACCAACAAATCGTATGTGGGAAAATAAATTCTGTGGTCAAAAATAAACCACAATATTGGCAAGATGTATTGTTTCGTCAATTGCGTTTACCCACACAAGTCTAATTACAACTTTGGTAAATTGATACAAATATGCATTTAATTATGCTTGTGGTTAAATGATGCTTATGATGCCTTTTAAACGCATTATTTGAATAATAATTTATCATAAAAATTCTATGTAGAAATCAACTCGCCTTCATTAATGCATTTTTTAATATACTATTTTTTTTACCTATTATAGGCATACCAGCATAAAGATAGCATAGTATCTTAAAAGTGGTCCATCTTAAAATGTTATCAAATTTATAATAGGTACATCTATATCAAAGGTTTATTTAAGTATTGGTGCCAGTTGTGCCCTTTATCGAATTGCAAGAGCAAGGTTGTCTGTCTGGGTGGGTTCCAATTAAATTTAAAATAGACTTTAGTATTGATATTTCAAATTGTAATTTACAAACTTTAAAGTATATGTATAAAATTTCATAAATTGTTTTACAAAATAGTATATAGGAATTCATTGTTATTTCTAAACAATCGACAAATCAAAACCCTGAATTGATTTTAAGAAATGTTAAAACAAAACATTTTTTCTAAATTAAGATTTAGGACCATGTTTGCCAAATTATTATTATAATATAATATAAATTTATACCTTGTCGACTGGTTAAAAATATGCATATTTTGTAATTACTTATTATTAATACCATTAAATTAAAAATATCAAATTATTATGAAAATTAACAAAAAACCGTTAAATTTCTTGAATACATAAACGTTGATCATATAATATTTGGCAACCTCAGCAACCACTTGTAAATACAAAGAATTAAAAAAATGGCGAATGCGCCAAGAACATAAAGTAAAAATTAAGCTTAATATATATTTTTACAAAATTATATAGTTAAATATCTTAAATTTATTTGAAAAAAACAGCCATTTGAAGATTTTGAACTTTAAAGGTTACTTTTTTCGTTTCTTTCACCAAATTTGAAAGAAAAATCTTATATCAAAAAGCAAATCGTTGTAGAGAAATATAGGTACATTTTTAAATAAATAAAAACATTAACTAAGTTTTACCAGTAGAGTTTCTTGAAATGTGCAATTTCTATAAAAGTTGGCTGGGGGGATCACTATGGAAAGATACCAATCAAAGCATGGCACCTAGTGTGCTATGGAGAATGTCGGGTTCTGATTGGGTATTGCTTTTATATATAGAGATCATTTTCGAACAGAATACATACCAGGTGGAACAAAAGTATCAAATAATGGCTTTAACTTTGTAATTTGCAAGTTAAAAAAAGTTCAATTTAAAAGTTATTTGGTTCATTACCAAGCATGTTTTGAGTTTTTAGTTTGTTAATATCTTTTTTACTTTGTTCCTATGGCAATCTTTTTTTTTAAATGGCACATTCTTTTTTTGTTCATTATAAAAAAAGCATATTTCTCTCTATTCAATCATACAATTTTAAAATTTTTGAAAACCCTATTGTAAATGACCAATAGAATCTAATAAAAAATAATTAATTGGTTTGAATTGGTTTTCGCGCTATGAATCACCAATTGATTCCAGTTGCATTCCTATTGGTAAATTCCAATGAAGTCAGCGGCTTGGATTCGAAAATACCAATCCATGCCTATGCTTGTCTCTATTGGCTAAATCCAATAGAAATGCACATGAAATGAATTGGTAATTCATAGCGCCAAACCCATTTCAACCAATTAATATTTTGAAATTTGGATTAGAAAATATCTACCAGTTTATTTTTCATTTAAAAATAATTTTAGATCCCAGAAGGATAACCGGATAAAAACCAGAATTCATTTTTCACAGAAGAGACAAAAAATTTATTGTTACTGAGTAATTTTATTTCTTTATTATTTTTTTGTGATATGTATGTATTGATACATATAACTTACTATCATAAAAAAAGTAATAAAAAATAAATAAAATTATATTTTTTTGTCTTTCTTGCAAAGGTTTGTAGGCATGGTCGAAGTCGATATTGTTTATCGGCCATTCCAAGCCCATGGACAGGACACATCAGAAACATGTCTAAATATATTCTTGTTACTTCCTTAAGTTTACTTATTTTTTCTACGAATATTTATGAGAAGTATTAGCCAAATTTGGCTAATACTTCTCATAAATACTCGTAGAAAAAATAAGTAAACTTAAGGAAGTAACAAGAATATATTTAGACATGTTTCTGATGTGTCCTGTCCATGGGCTTGGAATGGCCGTTATGTCAATTTTTTGTCCGCTGTGACAACCACTCTTACGCCATCGTCCCTAAACCTTACACATATAAACATTTTTTTAAGATATAAGTACACTACTATCACTAGGACTTACAGAAATCGACTAATAAAAAAACCGCTAATAAATGGCGTCCAAAGACTTGTTTGTGTTGTTTTTTCTTTATGATGGCGTCTCAACCTCGTTGGTTTTGCGCAGCTACACGATAGCCCTCTTGCGATATTTGTATTGCATTGGGAATAACCAATTTGCAGATTTTTCGAATCTTACACTGGGAATGCCCAATTGAATTCAATTGGAAATTACCTATATGTAGCTTTATCCAATCGAAACCGCTAAAAAACTAGAATCCTAATTGGATTTTTCCATATTTTCAAGTATTGTGAATAACCAATTAGCAAATTCCTTTTTCGAATCTTACACTGGAAATGCCCAATTGAATTTAATTGGAAATTACCCATGGGTAGCTTTATCCAATCCAATCCATCATGGAAAATACCAGTAAAAACCAGTTTCTGTTTTATATCGCGCCCAATTAAATCCAGTAAGTCCAATTCAGACCCATTGATACCAACCAATACTTCAATTGGTTTCTACAGGAATTAATCGGTCATTTACAACAGGGAAGGTAGGCTATAGCCTACCTTTGTCACTCTTTAAAAACTTAATTATATTTAAATTTTAGTGTGAAAATAATCGATTATTTGTTATTGAGTCTTAAGAAATACCCTCAGAGGTATTATTTAAAACGCTGTCCAATTACTAACTAACAAATCAGGGGTCTAATATCAAAACCCAGCAAACTCCATTTGAGTAACATTTTCAGGAATAAGAACATACGCTATTAAACTATTTCCTAAAAAAAATGTAGGACCTAGTAATATGGGCAACAATACAGGGTTTGATTTTTTTACACAATCATTTTCACGAAAATTTTGATAAATGTATTGGAATTTGCTGAAAAAAATATTAGACTTTGCTGTGATTGAAATTACTGTTGTTTAAGAACATAAATTTAATTGTTTTGGTAAATAAATACCAGAGGAATGATTTTTGACACATTTTTATCGTTTAAAGTTATTAAACGCATTGGAATCATGCCAGAGGAATAATCATTTGCGACTTCTAAAAAAAATCTAAAATTTTATGAATACAATTTTGACATGTACCCTTTTATGTTCTAAATACTTATTATATATTTTTGCTTTGTTTTAGATGTGGTTTACAAAAAATGGTTAAAACTGCGTTACGACTGTCTGGCTCTGACGCACGAAGTAGAACACATGCTTTTGAAGCTGCGCGAGAATTATTTTCTCTGCCTCATCACAAACGGGCCTTCGGCAGCCCAATGGGAAAAAGTAGAACGCCTGGGCTTAAAACAATACTTCGACCTAATATTGGTATCAGGCGACTTGCCGTGGGAAAAACCCCACCACAAAATTTTCGAAGAGGCCTGCGAGTTTCTCGTCATCAAACCCCATGAGGCAATCATGGTTGGCGATAAATTACACACGGATATTTTGGGTGGTATACAAGCAAAACTGGGCGGCACAGTTTGGGTACCGTTTAACAACCAAAAGTTGCAAAAAAGCGACCCAAAACCTGATTACACCATCAAAAAGGCCACGGATATGCTGGCGGTTTTGCCAGAATCCAGTAAAAGGCCTTTCTTTAAAAACAGAAAACTATTTTTGCCGGACATGGAGGATTGTAATAGTAATAGCAGCGATGGCAGCTGATACTTTAATTTGTTTATATTGTTTGTGAAGGTAACGCTTTGATCTTACAGAGTTTTTAAAAAGTAGTATTTTAATTTACTACAACACATACATGTGCAATTCACTATAAAAATGATTGTACATATCGCTATTTAAATTTATACGTTATGTGTATAGTTTTAGTCATTTTAAGTTTTACAGTAGACTAATAAATACAAATATATTTTTATTTTTTTACTAACAAGCAATTTTTTGCTATCTTTTTAAAATGAAATCTTAAGTTTTTGGAAATGATACAAATCAGATTATTAATAATATTAATAATAATAACAATAATAATGCTGGAGACGCACTTTGCGAAGATCCGTATTTATTACACAGTTGACAAAAACTGTACTTATTTTATTATTTATTACCAAAAACAAGAAATAAAGTTTTATATGACATTTAATTTTAAATGTAGTTGATATTAAGTATGGAAACCGCAGAACTTTTACATATTTAAAAACTCCATTTTTACAATTTATTATCTTCCCAAAGAAATGCGACTTCCAGACCTATTTCTTCACCATGTTAACTACAAATATGGTAACTACAATTTTAAGTTATAAAGGACTATGGACCTGATACTTAATATTGTAGTTCTACCTTTGTGCTTAGCATGGAATTATATTATAAAAAATAACCATAACAATGTAAATTAGTACCTAAACTCTAGTTTTAACTTTTAATTTAACTCGAAGACGTCATCTGAAAGTCAAGAAGTGCAAAATATTATTTTTAAGCATGGTGCTGGTGCAGTCTTTTTACGAAGGTTGTAATTTAAAATTAAAATATTACGTATATAATGTTTTAACTAATCTCTTAAATGTACCTAATGTAGGTATGTAATTAGTAACTTCTAGTTACTATAATATTTATAGATATTTATTTATAAGAATTAACCTGCTAACAGTAAAATTTGTTTTTGTCCTGTGTAGTTTGTAGAAATAGTATATTTTCTGATAGTTGTACTTTTGGTAAATAGGCAATAAATAAAGTGAATCATAAATAGATTTCAAGATTTTTACCACTATTAGATTTAGAAGGCAGTATTATTTTAAATTTGTATTAATCTTGTTTTATGTTTATGATTCAAAGCAGCACAATACCATAAGTCAAATAAGAAACCATGTAATTTATAAGTCATATTTTCGAAGTCTGTTGGTTAGTGAGAGTCAGATTTAAATTCTGTGATAATCTGAATTACTTAATTTAAGGTAAAGATAAAGTATACCTATTCGAATATTTTTATAAGAAATCCTTATCACTATTGTTTATACACTATGTTACTTTTATTTATAAATACTTTGAATTCTGTAATTCTTAGTTTTCTTCATGAACGAATTTCTTTTAAATGTGTTTTATTTTTGGCGTTAAAATAAAACAATTTCCTCCTAAAATCTAGTTTTATTGATACATACAAACATACATCTAAAATATGAACTAGATAAAATTCTAAACACACAACCAAATCAAAGTTAATTTATTCGTTTTATCTATACAAACTGTATAAAAGGATATTTATGATAAGATTTTATTATTATTAAATTAATATTAAAATATTAGCACGTCACCAATTGGCCTATTTGGGCAAAATATACACAATATAAACACAACTCGTTAAAACTGCCTAGCTACAATTCAAAGAATTTTACAAGTATAATGGCAAATTAACAAAACCACTTAAAACAATATAGATTCAACAAACAGTCTTTACAAATATTTTCACTAAGCACCTTAATTAGGTTTAATGTCCATATAAATTAAAATGTTAAATTTACAATATTCTACACGCATTTTTTAGGACGTTCTTTTTCTTTTTGTGCTTGTTTGGCCTCAAAATTATTGTCCCATTGTGGTTTTTGGAGTGACTAGGGCTAAAGGCACCTAAAACAAAAATAAATTTTAATATTAAATTAAAAAAAGACAAAAAATGTAGATTGGTCATTTATGCTGTCCAAGTAGGATTGTCTCAAACCCAATAAAACTATTAATAATTAAGGTGTAAAAATCTTTATAAATATATATGGGAAAATCCACGTGATTTAAACACGAAAAAAACCCTTGTCATTTCGAAATTCCTCGTCAGTTTTTCCATGGGTTCCCTGACTCAAAATAAAAATTCAATTTTAATTTTAGAACGATTTATCAATTGTTTTTGGAGATATAATTTTTTAAATTTTCATGATTATAACGATTTTTCCCATATATCATCGATCATAACTTTGGTTTCAATTGTTATTGAGCGATTTCGATTTTCATAAATCTTTTTGATGCTGTGGCATATTGGCACACTATCATATTTTTCTTTGAAAACCAAAAATCCATTTTCTACGCTGTTTGAATTTTTTTTTTTTATTTTATACAGGTAGAATTAGCAGTTTTTATTAAGCAACAAGTCGTATTGAGTTTCAATTCAGGTTAAAATACCGGTGTTTTCTTTAGTTAAATATTTTTGTGTTTTTTAAATGAATCCTGTTCATGTCATAATTCTCTTAATAATTGAAATGCCTTTTTTAAGAAGAAACGAAACTGATTTTTTTTTATCAATATTTAACGATAAGAGGCAGGGTAAGCAAATTTGAGTACAGGGGGTGGGTATTCCGATTGCTCTGATATTTTATTTCTCTTGTATGTACATATAGTTTTATCCATCCATATAAATATATTTTAATGTTTTAAAAAAGGAATTTATGTTTATAGCCTTATACAAATTTTTATTCTTATAAGTTTTTTATAACGTTCGACTTTATTAGGATCATTGTAAAAGGTTCACATTATTATAGCGATATGTCACCCGATGTTATACAAAAAACAATTTTTCAAATAGGAACCCATATATTCGTTTTGTTATCAAATTTTCTTTAACATATGTTTTTATATATTTCACAACTTGGTAATATTGTAAATGCTATAAAGCAAATTTTTGATGAATTCAAGTCGAGGGGTAAACCACTGATTTTTTTAAATTAAAAATCGCTTACGAATTAACGGCTAAGGATAACAATAACAAGGGTAGTCATGCACAACGCGTCGCTAAGCACTGATTAAGCACCGATTAAGCCACTAACATTGAACGTTGGTCTCTAAGATTTTAAAGTGGTTTACCCCTCGATTCAAATCTTAAAAAAATTATATAAATTTCTTATTTGGTTACTTACTGATGGTGAGAGAGTTAGGGTGGTGTGGTGTGGGAGAAGTGAAGTAGTCATCTCTAGGATCCCTTAGTTCTGCCAGACACCGAGATGCTAGATGACGAAAAACAGCGGCGACGTTCAGATCCTCCTTAACGGAAGTCCTTATCAACTTGCATCCTAGGGCACGAGCTAACAATTCCGCCTCCTCACTAAAAAAGTATCACAATTAACAAATATCGTAAAAAATTTTGACACCATATGAAAATTTATTGTTTTAATCAAAATATGAGTGTTTGGTCGGTATGTGACAAACGGCGTTTCATTTTTATTAATCATTTATAATTTAAGAAAACAAGAGAAAAAATGATTACTTACGGGTTAACGACGGTTTGGTCCATAAGATCAATTTTATTTTGTACAATTACTGTTGGAATTTCCCCACATTCGTTTTCTACCTAAAAAAACAAAAACCGTTTATTTCCATAGCTGAATTTTACGTTTTATGGTGGTGTTCACTTGTGTTAGAGTATAAAATATATACAATTATTTTATTCCAGATTTAAAGAATTTTTATGTCTATAGTAGGTAGATAGTATCTACTAGATACCTAGAAAACAACCGCGAGGGGCATCAAAACGCACATCGCCTTCACGTCGTGCGGAATCATGCGTGACGGTAAAAACGCTGCGATATGAGGGCACGAAATGATAGCAAAACTTTGCTGAATGGTTATCGCAAAATTGTTGATTTTACTTCATATTATACTAACTAAAATTTTCAAAAAATTGACTTACACCATATAGCTTATTTGTGAAAATACTGGATTTGTAAAGACTAAATTTGTAGAATACATTTGTATAAAAAATAAACATAATTTTATTTGGAATTCCAAATTGGAATTGATCTTAAGATCAACGAGTTAACACGTTGATCTTAAGATCACGTTTATAAATTAACTTATTATTAATTTATTTATGAATTTGTAAAAAGGTACCTAATTTTAATTAAAATAAGATATCTTTTTATAAATGTGGACAATTGTCACAAAAACTAAAATAAAGGACGTAAAGAAAAAGATGTTTTGGATTATAATATATATAATATAGTAATAAATTACTTATTGACCAAAATTTCGCAATAAATCAATTTTATAAATGAATAACAGCTGAGTTTTGGACTTTCCTTGTCTTAATTTGATTGTTTTTCTTACAACGTTTCGATTAGTAATTATCTCTAATTGTCTTCAGGTAATAACTGAAGACAATTAAAGATAATTACTAATCGAAACGTTGTAAGAAAAACAATCAAATTAAGACAAGGAAAGTCCAAAATTCACCTGTTAATCATGCACAGAAAAATTTCTTCAAACATCACATGCGCTGGCTATATGAACCTCAATTGATGACGCAAATGATACCTATATGTGATATACGTGCGGATTAAGAATCACGTTGTGACTGAAATATGCGTAAATTATAAACCTCGCAATGTTTCTCCAACCATCACATGTGCTGGCTCAATTGATGACGCAAATGATGCATATATGCGTGCATACGTGCGGATAATAATCACGTTGTGACTGCAATATGCGTAAATTATGAACCTCATAATGTTATATGGGTATGTAAGAAAATACCGATATAATAACTATAATATATATTAATATAGTTATTATATCGGTATTTTCTTACATATCTCAATACAAAAATTGTAATTTTTTTATTTAATATAATAAGCAATTCATTTTTGAAATAAATAATCACATTTACGATCATTGTAAATTTTACACACGAAAATTAAATATTATCAATTTTAATATTTAAAAATAACTGTTAATCCCGGCGCATTCGCCATTTTTGGTATAAAGCTAGCAAATTCTAAATATTTTTTGGTCTGTTAATATAAATGTGCACATATTTTATGTTTAAATATACAAGGTCAAGGAATTAATTAATCAATTACAGTAACTTTTCAGTTAAGGTTTTTAAAATTTCCATTAGAAATTTTCTATTGAGGTTTTAAACATAAAAAGTTTAACTTTGTTACAAATAAAACTTATGATGGTTTCAAGTTTTGATTTTTTTAAGAAAAAGAAAATACAACCATTTTGACCATGACTGCATTATTAAATTTTTTACTACAACTGTTTTTATATATGTTGTATATATTTCACTCAACGCATTTTCAAGTTTTGTAAACTTGTGTGTGTGTTTTCAATTTGTTAAAAACACGCAATTGGTTTCGGTAAAACAAAAATTGATTACTTCTGTTTTAATTTTAATAGTTTTAATAACTAAACTAAAACAGAAAATTTGGCTAACGCTAACATTTTTATACCCCTTATTTTTAAACAACCTTAATAATATATTTTATTTCTAATTCTAAATATGTTTAAACTAACTCTTTATCTAATAAAGAATGGCCATTTGAATAGTAAATTAAATCTAAATTAAGAATTATAACGTTAACGATAATAAATTTGGAAAAAAAACATCTTTTTAGATATAACTTCCATCTCTTGAAGATTTAAATAAACAGATTAAATTTATTTCAACCCCCACATCGTCAAGAAAAATTAAAAAAGAAACCTGTAAAATCAGGAAAATTTGGTTTTAAAAAATGTGGCCACACTGTTTTACAACTTTATTGAGTCAATTTTCTATCCCATCCACAAACATTTTATTGTTTGGTAAATTTTTGAGATAATGAAGAAAACATTAAAAGCCTAATGGATCTTCAAATATTTTATAGTAACTTCTGATATTGCTAAAAATAAAAACATTTGGGTTAAGAGTAATTTAAAAGGACAATAATTATTGTCTTTTCAAGGATTTTAAATAATTTATTTTCTTTATATACATTACAAAATAATAGCACGGGGCGAAAAGAACTATATATAGCAAACTATATTATAGTAACTTATGTTACTAGGCCAAGAAGCGTTAAAATATCAAATAAAATTGGCTTTAAATTCCTTGCGGTAGTTGAATAAAATATTGCGTTCGACTATTGGTCAAAAGAGACGATTTCACTCGCGTGTTAACACGGTAATAATCGTTTTATAACTCCACGTTCGATGAATCTTCTACTTCTACCACTAGTCGCACACTATACTATTTTTAAACATATAGGTTAGGGTGTCCCTTATTTTTATTTTTTTTACGCTTACTCTCTAATTATATTTATTACTTGTTTATATACTCCCAGTAAAAATTTCAACTCATTCTATAAACAGGAACCCGTGCCGACTTGCATCTGAACCCTCCGTTAGCCAACGTTAGGCGCGCGCGGTATTTTGTAACACGAAACACTTTAAAAAGAAGATATACTTCATGACTGTATTTTTCTAATGATTTTATTAAATATGATTACTAATTAATATTATTGCTTTTGTTTCTATCATTTGTTTCACTAATTTAGTTGATTTTATCCCTAATTAGTATTGCTAAAATATACTGTTATATGAAATTTATAAGCATTTCTTTTCTTGATGTCCTCCCAAAAATATTTCAGACAGTTCAATAAGTTTTCGGTAGTCATCTCTTACAATAGACTCTTTTAGGTATTTAGAGTAAAACTCATTAAGTATATCAATTTCAGAGTTTACGGCCTATTCACCAGACCCTTTCACTCCCTGTGAAAATATACATTTTTATTAAAGTATACACATAAATAAAACTATATTTTAACATTTGAAGGGGTTAGAATAGAAAGGGTATAAGTGCAATTTCTTTAATTTAGGAGATAAGTTCGTTTTGTGAAAGATAAGGTTCCGACGTATCGAAATGAAAAGGATTTAAGTAATTTTCATACTTCTAGCGACCTCTATTATCCCGTAGAAAAACATTACTAAACAAAATTCTTCAATTTTTTATGATAACATAACTTTAACTTCAAATATCTCCAAACAATGAAAATGTTACTTATACCCTTTTTATTCTAACCCCTTCATTTGTCAATAATTTATAATATAAGGGTCACATAATAACAAACACAAAATGACTCACGATCGAATACCTCGCGACCAACCGTGTTACAAAATACCGCGCGCCTAACGTTGGCTAACGGAGGGTTCAGATGCAAGTCGGCACGGGTTCCCGTTTATAGAATGAGCTGAAATTTTTACTGGAAGTATATAAACACGTAATTAATATAATTAGAGGGTATGCGTAAAAAAAATAAAAATAAGGGTATTATATTTTTGTAAATATGTTAGTAATAATAACTATTGTCAGTGTTCGTTTACTATTGTGCCTGATTTTAGGATCCTGAATTTTTATTAAATACAAAAAATTGTCGCCCTTAAGATAACTCGCCCCCTCCTCCCTTAAACCCACGGCACGCCAATAACTATCGCATGGTATAACTTTTAGGTAGGCAATGATTTCTGATAAAAATATGGTTACATTTTATTTAAAAATAAATAAATTTATATTAAAAGTTCCATTAAGGTCTCCTAAAACTTGTTTAACAAACTTGGCCATGATGTTTATTATTTAAAAAGACGCATCATAAGTTAATACATAAGTACTAATTTTAATTGGCCACGAAAATAGCATAAACATAAATATAATTTAAACCTCATAAATAATTCGGTTTATCTCGGCTGACACTTAATGTTCTTGTAAAATCATATTTCAGTTTCATAAATATACTAAATATACATAAACTTGCAAGGCATATCCGATTACCACTGCTCAAGCATGCCGTATTTTTTATATTCCGTCAATTAATTCGCAATTTGTATTTTTAAGGAATCGTTAATTATGTTTGTGGCCGTTTACTAAGAATCCGGTAATTAATTAATACAAATTATTGGCAGAAAATTAAGTAAGTTGTGGAAGTGTTTAGAATTTGTAGTAATTATTGCGGAGAAATTTATCAAAGAACATTGCTACATTTAATTAAATAATTAGCCTGTTAGTTACTTATATAGGTATATCAAATAAGATTTATAAGAACACTTATACTAAATTACTAATACACTAAATTATTACATAAAACCGTTCGTATATTTATCTAGTTATAACGTTAATTGAAACTACTGTAAAACTTAAGTTACCAGATGGTAGGTTTATTTATTCTTAACATCAAAAGTTTCACTACCTATAGTTGAGGATTTTAAAAGGAAGACAATATTGTTTATATATTGTATTAAAATCCAATCTGATTAACTTTTAAACGTCTACCTTTTTAATTATTTATAATGAAACGATTGATTTTTAATAATCAAATTTAATTATGGATTTATTTTAAGGCATTTGGAAAACTTAGGTATACAGGGTGCACCAAATATCCTTTTAGGTATGCGTGCCTTTTTTTGAAGAGCTACAAGGTCGGTTAAATTTGAGAAAAGTTACTACAAGTCTACAAAAATGAGCAGTTCTTAAATGTACATACCTTGAGTTTCCAGGAATGGGCAGCCTCGAACGAGTCCCTATCCGTAGTGGAAAAGGCCAGAACGCAGGCTTGAGCTCCTCTGTAGTAAGCTTTGGTAATGGCATCGAATTCTTCCTGACCTGCTGTGTCCCATAACATTAATCTTACTTCTTCTCCATCAACTCTAAAAAAAGAGTACGGTTAATTACAGTAATACATTTTACCGACTAAGAAATAAAAATCTTTTTTATATATGTATGTCACCACAATACAAACTATGGTTATTATGCACCATTAAATAGGATGTGCAGAAATGCAAATACTTTAAACGTAGATTTCTTTGGCAATCCTCTCCAGTCCTTTAAAAGGTCTTTAATGTAAAATTGTAATGATCACTTTTGTTTATATCTAATGGTTAATCCGTCAATAAAGATATTTATTTATTTATAAATTAGATTTAAGGTTTAGAAATTGGAATTAGGTCGAATTTAAAAATAATTTTTGGTTTTTAAATATTTATTGTCAAGTGGAAGGAATTGTTTATATATTTTCCGTATAAATACAAAAAAAAACAACGCAATGAAAAATAACGAATTGCGTTTTGCAAAAATGGCGAGTCGAGTCGAGCTTGTTGGATTTATTACTTAAATTAAATAAATATGTTGTTAAATTAACCTCAAAAACTGGGATTAAAGTAAAAAAATTGTCAAATAATATATGTAAAATGTTTTATTTTATATTTAACATAATATTTATGAAATAAAATTACTAAAAGGTTATTTTAAACGGTAAATTTAACGTAAATTTTTTTAGTCAAATGTTTACTAAATTAAAACCACTTTATAACAGTATATAATTCTTATTTATAATATACTTTAAGTGAAAAATAAAACTAAACGTGACTATTTTCTGAAATATTTAATAAAAATTTATATACTCATTTTTTCTAAATATTTTAGAAAAAAGTAATAAATAGACTCACGAACTTTTTTTAGATTTTTTATTTTGCATATGTCATATATTTATTTTACAGTATTTAGAGGGCCTAGTTTGAGAAAAATAAAACTGTAATTTTTTATCCTACGTGGTCTCTAATTTTTAAGATTTTCACCTGATAAACATTTTCTTAAATAAACAATAAGTTAGATGTTATATTTTTTAAATTTATGTAAAAAAATAAAACGAACGATAATAATATATAAGTAAGTCAGAGCAGTATCCAGAAAAATATTTTGGTGGAGGGGATCCAAAATATTTATGTACATTACATTGATATTTTATGTATTTATGACCCAAAAAGAGTCCCTGCACCGCTACATACAAAAGTATAAAAAATAAAACATCATGCAACCGTTTTTAAATAATAGTATATTATTTATCAAGTTTGATAAACGCAATAATATACACAAATTTAATTTAGGCACGAGCGAGCTTGCGAGCGAGTGCTTAAATTAATGAGTGTATAGAAACGTTTATAAACGAGGTGCATACTATACTTTTTCTACGACAAATACTTGTTATTATCTTAAAATTATTCAAATAAAAAATTTGTATAGAGCGCCATCTATGAAACAATAGGGGAATCTGTGTGTCACCGTCAAATATCAAATTTTTTTATTTTATAAACACAGATTATAAAGGATATAAATCGAAATGTATTTCTTGAAAATTGACAGTTTTTCACAGTGAAAGTAAAGAAAATGTTTTATGAGCACTTTACAGTGGAGTCTGTGTCCGAATTTAAGTTATAGTTTACTGCCGCGAAATTAAAATGTCAGTACAATTGTACATTAATGTTCATATAAACTTTTCAAATATTGGCGTTGAGAAACTATTTAATACTTTTGTATTTTTGTATTTAGATAATAAAATAATTTTCACATTTGGTTTTATTTTACAAGAAAGGCACTTTATTTTAACGATTGTATGACATTTGACAACTGTCAACTTACTTAAAACTAACTTCAGCCCGTGACTAAAAACCTGTTGCTAACTTCAGCCCGTGACTAAAGCGCCATAAAGCCACAACTTGTCAATGTGTATTTAAAAGGTCAATTAGTGTCATGGAAACATGTACGATAAAGGGCGTTTTAAAGGTGAGAGTAGAAAAAATTATATTTTGTAAAATAAAGAGAAAACCTAATTGAAATGTAATTATGTTATAACATCATTAAGACAATTTAAAAATAGTATATTTATTATTGAGTAATTCATCCAAATATAAATGGCCATTTATCAAGAGTTGAACAGTATACTTTAACTACCCCTATTGCATAATATTTGATTTTTTGCCCATATAATGATAAATATTATAAATTCCCTTCATAACAATGGGAATAATGAACTCATTATTCACGTTGTTAGGCATCAGTGATTGGCCCATTTTAATATATACTGTGATTTGAACCAATCAAATTTTAAATTGGGAGAATGCGACTATAATTATATTTAAAATTGTTAAAAAGTAGGGTTAACCATTTAACATTTTCAGATTTTATTTATTTATTTTAGATAAAGCATAGTATTACTCGAGATAATGCGCATTATTCGCTCGGATGATTTGAGTCCCTCGTCTGGCAACTCGAGCCTGCATTATCTCTTGTATAATAATATACTACTTTCTAGTTTTATTAAAGAAATTAGTGCAATTTTGTACAATTACCACAAACACAGATTGGATCCCAAATCCCAGTGTAAATTCATTTTCAGGAAAACAATGAACCACAGTATGTATAATCGCTATAGGAATGATAAATACCACCGCGGAAAAAAGTAAAATCTCGTCATCTCATTGGACAGTACACAGGAAAAAAGGTCAATTTCTTCATAGTTTAATACTAAGCTATGTACGTAGCTCTCAATTTAAAACGTATAAGAAATGTACAAATTGTTTAATATGATTAGAAAAACAAAGTTTTAAAATTAAGGGTGGGGTTTGAAGCCCCCTAAAGTAGGTAAACAATAAGCCGTTACTTCGCTGATTATAAATTAAATTTGTTTCACTTTAACTAACATTTGGCAAATTATCAAACGTAAGCAATAAATATGTTGACAGTCGTTTCGCGAAACACATTTAATTTATTATTCCTTAAAAATTGCATTTATTATCCCGTTAATGCAAAGTTGTTTATACAATTGTAATTTCTTTGAAACATGCTTTTGTTGACAACTTAACGCTAACAAATCCCCTCATTTACTAAAGATATTCATGAATTTATAATGTAAAATGTTGTTTGTCAAAGCAAGTTTTAAATTAATTTACTTTAAATTTTTTATGCATTAAATTTGTGTCATCCGCGTTTGATTTTTCTGTGTTATTAGGTTTATCGAGTAGGTACCTAATTAATAGAATTAATAATTAAAAATGATGTGTCCTCACTATTTATAATATTTAAATTTTTAAAAGTGGATTAATTACTGTACCATTTTACTTTCTACTTTCCATTAAAATGTAAAATAAAAAATAGTGTTTCCTCGTAAAGAAATTATGTAATTTTATAAATCCTTTCATTTTATTTATTTATAGTTCAGAGATAAATAGATAGTAAATAATTGCTAGCATTTACGGTTTGGGATTAATTAACGTTTTTCTAAAATAAATCTCAGAAGTACACGGAAATATTTAAAAACAATTTTACGAATCGATTTTAAATTAGCTTGCTAACCATTTTGGGTAAAAAATATTGAATAGTATATTATGTAGCAAGTTTGATAAACGCCATTTCAGACAAGAATTTAATTTGCTTAAATTAATGAGTGTCTAGAAAAGTTTATAAACGAGTTGCATACTATTCTTTTTCTACGACAAATACTTATTATTATCTAAAAATGATTAAAAATTAAGTATTTGTATAGAGCGCCATCTATAAAACAATAGGGGAATCTGGGTTACCGTCAAATGTCAAATTTGTATATGTTATAAACATTAGACTGGGCCAAACTATTTTTTATAGTTATATATGGTTTGGGGTAACAAAAAAATTATTGTGAAAGTTTGATTCCATAATATTAATATTAAGAGGTCTATCATCGCAATTTTAATTTTTTTTTCCTCAGCAAGTTTTTGTCTCAGAACTCCCAAACCATTGAGTTTAACAAAATTGACTTGAAAATATTTTTTTAAGAAAATTAAATGCTCTACAAAAAAGGTTGTGAAATTTTCCGTCAGATGAACCGTTTCCTTAAAATCATGCCTTAAAAATTGGTTTTGATCTTTAAAGAATATTTATCTTATTTTTATGGGTACTGATTTTTACATGAATTACAAAATTCCAATTTAAATTTAAATTGGAATTTTGTAATTCATGTAAAAATCAGTACCCATAAAAAACCGATAAATATTCTTATGGGAAATCAAATGCCTTACAAAAAAAGCCTCTTAACATTTTTGGCTAAATTCACTCAATCAAAAGTTATTCAAGGTTAAATTTTGGTTTTGACTTCAAATTTAACCTTGAATAACTTTTGATGGAGTGAATTTAGCCAAAAATGATAAAAGACTTTTTTGTAGAGCATTTGATTTCCCATAAGAATATTTATAGTTTTTTTTCCGGGTACTGATTTTTACATGAATTACAAAATTCCAAAGTTAAAAGATCAAATTGTAAAACTGTAGAAATTTTTAAGGCATGATTGTAAGAAAACGGTTCATCTGACGGTAAATTACAATCAAACCTTTGTAGAGAATTCAATTTTCAAATTTATTAAACTCAATGGTTTGGGAGTTCTGAGGCAAAAACTCGCTCAGGAAAAAAAATCTAAAATTGCGATGATAGACCTCTTAATATTATGGACTCAAACTTTCACAATAATAATAAGGCTACTATTAAATTTGGTACAGTACAGCGAATGGGGCAAATTTGTTTTAAAAATCATAAATTGAAACCTCACACCATGGTGTATAGGTAAATAAAAGTTAATAATTTTAAATTTGGACGCTAATAACTTCTTTCCAGTACATCGGAGGGTATAAATTGATATAAACTTAATTAAAGAGTAAAATTAATCCATGATGGCGCGGAAAGGGGTAATTTGGGCAGGGCGCAAATTTAAGGTTCCGTCGTAACAGTGTTGACATGCATTGTTGTCAGATGTACCTCATTACATTTTGATTTAAAAAAAAATAATAAAGTTCAATTTAATAATTATTATATTATACATAGGTAAGTAACTTATTACGTAATG